AATAGTGCATGTGCCACTTCCTACACCAGAATCAAGATAAAGGGTAAAAGCTTCAAGTCTCAGATGGAAAGGTCAAACGAGCCAAGCCTAACACAAAAAGGAGAGCCTCAAGTATTAGACGAAAGGCCAAATCAAGAACAAGACAAAAGTGGGTTAAGCACCGGATGAAGTCCGTACAAACATCAGATGAAGCCTAATGGTCAACCAGAAGAAGATACAAAACAAAGACGAAAGCTTCAAGGATCGGACGAAACAAAGCCAAATGATAGACGAAACAAATGATAGAGGAAATTGAGCGTCAACAAATGATAAATGAAATACGACACGTGCGCCAGATGATGGTAAATCAAATATCAGACGAAGGTGTGTCAAACACAACCTAGAGTGCAACATGAGAACTCAAACGAAGGCTGGTCTAAAATCAGAAGAAAGTCAACAACATATCAGACGAAGGACAACACAGACTGAAAAGCATTCCAGACGGAAACAAAGTCTGTCCATCTACAATGTTGACCAGACCAAAGAAAGTCAAAGCATTAATGACTAATGCTCAGATGAAGATCAAGAATTGAGATGGACATGGACTATTGGACGCAGACGAAGACTGCCATGCAAATATTTGAAGAATCAAGTCTCAAGGGACAAATCAGGCATCGTCTACATATGAGCTCTCAACATGATCGCGTGATTAAAGGGAAAGACAAAGAAGAAGAAAAGCAAGTCAAAAGTAAAAGCATGCATGTATCAGAAAAGTACATCACTTTTTTAGATAAAGACAACGCTCTACAGCTACGCGACTGGAAAAGGGCAAAAAGTTCTTAGGTCTCAACTAAAGTCAGATAGTGATGCTAACAAAACGAAGAAGACTTCACGCAATGTCTATAAATAGGAAGCAACATTTAATGCGAGATCTTGAGCATTAAATGAAGATCTAACTAGTAATGAACGACTACAACCTGCTTCAACGGACACTTGCAACGGGAAAATTTTACAAGACTATATATATGTCATAAGTTCAAACCTAGAAAGGTTGGTGTTGGCATTGGAAAAGAATGATATCAAGCCCATGAAGTAATGAAACCAGAGACAGAGCTTATAAAGTCAAATGTACCATAGTGTATTTATGTCTATAGACTAAAGAGTTCTAAGTGTAAAACTGTTGTCTCAATAGGTTCGACCCTATCTTCATCTTCCATTCTCGGATCAAGTTCTAAGCCTTCCACGAATTTTTGTTTATCACCCTCGCCAATAACATTTACATCTCGCCTTGGCTTCGGAGTTGGTTGTACTTTTAGACTAGCGAAGTAACATTCGCGTTCCATCTTCTAGTCGGCATGCACGGTGATGACGGTCCCTTCTTCTGATGGAAACTTCATAGCCAAATGTGGGGTGGAAACGATGGCTCGGAGCTTGTTCAAGGAGGGTCTTCCCAACAAAATGTTGTACGAAGTGTTGGCATGCACCACCACGTAACGCACCTTGATCCGCCTGCGCTGGTCGTCCCTGAAGTAGGTATATAGGTCTATGGTCCCTCGGGTATCCACCCGTTCACCCGAGAACCCTACCAAAGGCTCATCATAAGGCATCAACTCTTGTTCCGGAATGCCTAATTGTTCGAACGTCTTCCAGTATAAGATGTCGGCCGAACTTCCCTGATCGACCAGCGTCTTTTTCACGATACAATTGTTGATCTCTACGCTGATGACCATTGGATCATCTTGCACCGGATCAATGCCTTGAAAATCCTGGTCAGTGAATGTTATAGGGGGAATACGAATGGGGGATGTCCAACCTATAGCGTTAACTGACTTGATGGCCCTCAAATGTCTCTTCCGGGCCGAAGATGAGCTTCCTCCTCCCGCGAATCCTCTGGCAATGGTGTTAATCACTCGCCTGGGCTGATCATGATTTCACTGATCTTTTCTATCCCGGGACCTGCTGTGCTCACGAGACCGGTTCCGTGGAGGCGCTCGATCTCGGTTGTCCTTTCTGTACTCCCCTCTTCCAGGGCAGTAATTGTTCCTTCTGTTGTCTGTCGTCTGAATGAACTTTTGAAGGTGGCCAGCCTTGACAAGGTCTTCGATTCGGTCCTGTAGGGCAGAGCACTCCTCAATAGTGTGCCCCCTATTCCGATGGAACTGACATGCTTTCGTCTTATCGGCACGAGGCGGGGTCATAGCCCTTCGAGGCACGGCTAGTACTTCAGTGGCCAAAGCCTGCTCCAACACCTTGGCCCTGCTGGTGTTATGCGGCGTGTATTGCATATACCTTGGACCTCGGTTGTTCTTCTCACGATCAGTTATGTCTCGGGGGCGAGGTCTGGGAGGCTCCTTGTCACTTTCTTTTTTGGCGAGAAACAAGTCAGGTCGGTTTTGACTTCGTAACTCGGCCAATTCCTCCATCTGCATGTACTTCGTGGCTCTTTGTCTCAGGTCGTCGAGGTCTCGTGGTGGTTTTTTACACAGACTGTTAACGAATGGCCCTGGTCGCAACGCTGTGGTTAAATGGTGCATTGCCACGGCCGGGTCCAAATTGCGAATAGACAATGTCATCTTTCCGAACCTCTCCATGAAAGTCCTCAGGGGTTCCTTCTTTTCTTGGCGGATGTTAACCAACGCTATCGACGTTAGCTGGTGCGGACGGCTTGTGGCAAACTGTACCACGAACCGGGAAGACAGGGTCGTGAATGAGTCTAACGATCCAGGAGGAAGTCTCGTGAACCAATTGAGCGCTGGTCCTTTCAACGAAGTAGGGAAGACTTTACACATGATCGCATCATCATAGGTGTACAAACCGACTTGGGTGACGAACGCGTCAAGGTGTTCTTCTGGATCGATGGTGCCGTCATACTTTTCTAGGGTCAAGTTTTTCCAGTTGTCGGGTAGCCGGGCTCCGGCCACGTCTGGGGTGAAAGGGGTCCTTCCTTGTCGTCGCTGCTGATCGAGAGTAGTAGTCGTCACTCCAGTTGAGTGCTTAGGATCCCTCGTTTCTTTGTACCATCCAGATGACTCTCCGTGATCTCGGGCTGATTGGGTGTTGGGAACATCATGGGACGGATGCCATGACCGGTTATCACTTCTGAGCCTGGCATTTTCTTTTCTTAAGATCGATAGCTCGTGGGCGTCCTTTTCTCGGAGCCGCCTGAGTTCCATCATTTCGTCCTTCAGTTGTTCGATGGACGATGAAGGGTTGGGTTGTTGGGACCGGTCCACATAAGATTCTTCCATTCCTTCCTCGTTCTGATTAGCTGGCTGTCTATTGGTGTCGCGGGGCATCCCGAATGGGTAGTCGGCTGCGTTCTCTTGATGACTCCTCGTCATTACCATCCTGCTTCAGGGTTGAGAACCGTTCTGGTTTCGGCCTCACGGTGGGCGCCAAAGTGTTCCTGCGTAGAAACACTCCTCTTGTCGTTCTTCCTTCTTGGTCTTCTAAGTCTTCGCGCCGACCGAATACTGTCTCCGATGGGTGGGGAGGGTACCTGCAAAGGCACTCCAACGATCAAGTGAGTATTCGGTGTAGAGCAATAAGTGCTTTTATATTGGATAATAACGTACCTCCTTTATGTCACATCACCTGCGTATTTATAGTGACATAATTGGGCCTGGTGGGCCTTCAGTCTTGGGAGATGGATAACACTTGAGTTAACCCTAATCTCTTCTTAATCTGTCATAATAATTAATGCATAATAAGTGTCTAACCTGCCACGTGTTCTTTGTTCTGTCCTTTGTTGAAGTTCTCGGTTAGGCACAAGGCCGAAAGGGTGTTCGGCCTGCCCTAAGACCGAGGAGGTGTTCGGCCTAAGTCAAGGCCGAGGAGGGGATATTTGGCTCGTCCTTGGTGGTGATTGGGGTGTTCGGTGATCCGAAGGCCGAGGGGGTGTTCGGCCTATGTCAATGCTGAGAAGGTGTTTGGCCCAGCTTAATACCGAGAGGTTTTTGTTGGGTGTTCACTTCTATTGGTAAGGGGGTCCTGGGGTACCCCTTTGGCCGAGAAGGTGTATTCGGCTCATCTTCCAGCCGAAGGGGTGGTGTGTTTTTGTCGGCTCGGGCACCTCTTTCGGCCTATTGGCTGACCGAAGGGGCGCCAACTAGTGTGTCTTATCGGTTCGGGTACCCCTTTCGGCCTATTGTCTGACCGAAGGGGTGCCAACTGGTGTGTCTTATCAGTTCGGGTACCCCTTTCGGCCTATTGTCTGACCGAAGGGGTGCCTACTGGTACAGGAAGCATTAAGCATCTAAGAGATTCTTTCATTGGTTCAATCTATACTTCAAGGAAGAGGGGAGGGTTGCTGGAGAGGCAGTTTAGTCCTGAGAGACCGGTGAAAAACCAATGGAATTTTCTTCAAGCCATTTATATCTTTGTAAGCCTCTTCAGTGATTTGGTCATGAGCCCGCAACGCATTACTCTAACTCGTCGAGACAATTTAAATCGGTCCTATTTCTCTTTTATGTTGGAGCATCATGAACTTCAAGTGATGTATGAAGTCTTTTACACCAAGGCATTTGCCAATTATGGTCTCTTGGGTTGTGCATCACGATTGACCAATTTATGTACCATCATCGCTGTGCTTTTGTCGTATGTTAATTATAGTGCAAAGAAGGAGTACCTATTTGTGGATCACATCTTAACATACTTCTTGCTGTTTGGAGAATTCATAGCGGAAATATATTCCTGTATATTGCTTTTCTTCTCCAGATGGCTAGTTTACTACTGTAACAGTGGTCTAATAATCTTTGAAGATGATGAAGTTGATTTTTTTTTGGGACAAACCAACTTCTTCAACTTGATTTGCTACAAAAAAGTAAACATCAAGGGTAATTTCTTCCCTGTGAAAAAGTTAGGAGAACTCCCAAGTGTAACCCATTGCCTAGCATCTAAAAATTTACAAATGATGATCATTGAATGCTTGCGAGATAGATCAAAGAAAGGTGCAGAATCAAATCCTTCAGGCGCCCCAAGATACAGGAATCTTCTATTGGGAAAAAATGTTCCAATTTTTGCAAGTGAACTTGAATTTCATAGAACAATTATCACATGGCACATTGCTACATATTTGTTTTATTAGTATGATGAAGGGTCAAGGTCTAATTTAAATACAAAGAAGAACTGACAAGAGATGTCTGATTATATGTTTTACCTCTTGGTCAAGAAACGTCACATGTTGCCAGTAGGAGCAGGGATGATAACTCTTAATGACACAATAGTTGAAGCCATGGAGTTTTTCCAACACATCAAAGTTTCTCCACAACAAAACAATTTAGCTGAAATTTGTAGGATATTGCATCATCATCATGTCACAACTACATCTAGAGATTATGAAGCCTCAGAGATGCAAAGTTCATCTATATTGTTTCATGCTTGTGCGGTCGCAGAACAACTCATTGCTGAAGAAAATAGACAACTTACATGGAAATTTGTTGAAGAATTGTGGATCGAGATTATGAGCTATGCTAGTGCTCAATGTAGAGTAGACATGCATGCTCATCAACTTAGAAGAGGCCCTGAATTTCTCTCTCTTGTCTTGCTCTTTCAAGCTCATCTTGGTTTGTTGGATCAATTTCAAATAACACCCCATCAGGCACGTGTGTAAAGGCTAGGCCCCTTAATAGGGAAACCTTAAACCACTATCTAGGATTAATCATTTTATGTTGTAATTTGTAACAGTTTGTGTTGATGTTTTGGTGTACCGTCGCTTACGTTACAGTTAGTTCTCTAAATAACCTGTTCTAAATTCACATTAAGCACCCAAAATAAATCATGGTATATAGAGGGTCAAGAAAGATCAAAACTATCTTCATAGGCTATTAGAATATGCCAATGCAAGCAGATTATTTAAGTTTTAAAGCAAACCTTACCTTTGATATTGAATGAGACAATCTCTTTTTATCTGGGCCTATAGGCTAATGTGGAACATATCAATATCAAGCATTGCACCACTCGAGGTGTTATAATTTGGTCCAGTCAACAGCTGATAAATAACATAGATATATCATCATGCTCTCTTACGTTGTATGACAACATAGATCTGTTTGATCATAGATTTGGCAGTGTGTCTATAAATAACAGGTTCAAGTGCTTTATGCAATTTAGAATCCAAGGGAAAGGTGAATAAATCTTTGGTCAGTGCCTTGAATTTTGTTCTGTGGTGCTATTTCCCTAGTAAGAGCCAAAATCCATCAATATATTCAGTTGATGATGAAGTGAAGATCTGATCTTGATTTTTAAGTTATGAGAGAAACTGAACTTGCAGAAAATTTCTAATGGATTTAAGTCCATTGTACCAGTGGACCCGGACACACCCTTCGGCCTTCATCCTGACCAAGACTATCCGGGCCTAATGGGGCCGGATGGATAAATAACCCCGTCACTCTAATAAGTATTCAGAAATCAAAGAGGCCGGGTACCCCCTCGGCCAAGGAGCAACCCCAATAGGTACTCAAAGACCAGAGGCCGACCACTCCTTCGATCAATGTGTAACCCGAATGAGTACTTGGAAAGCAAAGAAGCCGAGTACCCCTCTTCGGCCAACGAGCAACCCAAATGGGTACTTGGCCACAGTAAACACCGAATCACCCTAGCACACAGAAGACTAATTACAGATTCACAATAAAGATCCACGTCAGCTATGATTAGGAGACAAAATCCACAGTAATTAGCCCATTATCCCAAAAGGCTCGTTAGGCCCGTCACTATAAATATAACATTGATGAGACAAGTATGATTATTTAATATTGTAGTCTTTATTGCTCTGTACTGAATACTCACTTAAGCATCTAATCCAAATACCTTTGCAAGTACCCTTCCCACCACTTGGAGCAGAGATTTAGTCAACACCTCGAACCTTGGAGACCAGTCATCAAGAAGATCAGCAGGAGTGTTTCCCACATGAACATCCATGATAACTGATCCTCAATTTCAAACATACATTTGCATTTAAAGAAGCATGTAAACCAATGAAAAATGATCAATAGAATGAAAATAAGCTAATAAATAGAGCAACTCTGGTTAAGTTTTTTACTATCAAACTACAGTACCAAAGTGCCATCGTACTATTGGAGTGGTACGCGATGTCAACATCTTATAAGGAGTCTTTTCTTAGAGAAGTAGTGATAGTAATTTCAATAACAATGTTATAGCAATGGGAGTGGTAGTTGCAACATTAATAATAGTAGTATTAGTAGAAATTGGGATAGAAGTGATAGTAGTTTTTGCACTATTGAAGTACTATCCACATAGAACAAATTGTAGTTGTCAAAACTGCAAGCAAAAGGGTAGCAAATTCAGAAAAATTTTTAGCTGACTTTCATAGCAATTTCAATTAGCAGAATATAATATTCAGATAAATATAATCACAAATTCTCTTGAAACAACTAAACTAATATTTAGAAACTATAACAGAGATGTAGGCACGTAATCATGATTATCTAGTATGAAACTGATAAAATAAATTCTGCTAATAAGAAATGAAAACATTAAAATAATGCCAGCACACATTATGATCAATCCAGCTGGCTGTGCTTAGATGCATTAGCAAGGACCCAAATTGCCTTAATTTTTTGTTAAAATACTTTTGGTTTTCTGTATTTAAAAAAAAAAAATTGTGTTTAGTGAGGACTAGGTTGAGAAGAATTTTGGATACCAGGAAAAATAATTTACACATTACACTATACTTTTATTATGTCAAATGGTTACTTATTAAATAAGTCTACTTGAGTCGATTAACAGGATAAACTAGTTTTGATAGGAACCTCAAGTTTCCTTTTTTTCATTTGAAGAGACTTTCATTGAAAAGAAATTTGGCTAAAGTTGCAAGTATATATCAGCTGAAAGCAATTGATCAATCCCCGAGGGATTTCTTCCAAATAGATTAAATCACCAATATGGCAAATATGCCTCCCTTATGATTCTTGTTAGCTGTGAACTTGGATCCTTCTTGATGAATGTAAAATGTGTGTATTTAGGATGCAAGAGGGAAGTTTTTGAACAATTGATTTTATTAGAACTTCCTTGCAGTTCAATATTGCATCAGACATAATTATGTATTTCTACAAAGGTTAGTTATCCACAAATTTAGTAAATGTTTCATACCAAGTACCAATAATTTTTTTATTTTTTTTTATAAATGTGATGTTTTTCTAGAATGATCATCTTTAGTCTATAAAGATTCAATTATACTTTTTTTTTAATAATTTTACTCGTATTTTATATTATTCTCCCACCATAAAAATGTAGTATAATAACAATATACACCAAAAAGTCGAAATCAAATTAAATTAAGAAAAATCCCTGCATAATATTTTTCAACTTAAGACTAGTTAAAACAATGGATGAATCATCTGAAAACAAAGGTTGATATTATCCGCAGGAAATTGCGTGGATATAATGAACATCGTATTCTTTGTTGGTGTGGAAACTGACTGAAAGGGAAAAAAGTTGTGCGGTGCATGGCGATAGATACAGTGCAAAAGTTGATGTTGCCTGCACCTTGTTTTATTTGTTGTTTTGCAAGGTAAGATTTTCAAAACTCAAATTTACATAACTTAGACTAGACTTTCACACCACCATGCCCCACTCTTCCACCTTCACCTAACTCACTTTCTGCCTTTCCATTAATGATCTTTGGGGAATTCATCTCAGGTTTGAAGCTAAGATATTTATTGCGGCAAGAAAATGACATTGTCTCATTAATTATCCCAATGTTTATTATGCCCACATTTTTTTCCTCATCATGAAGCCCACGATTTTATTTTAAGATTGAGATTGAAGATGGTGGAGTTGGTATTATTTGGATGAAGCAAGCATGGTATGCACGGTTTGTGGTTTTTTAAAATAAAAGATTTGTCAAGCCTCCTTATTTAAATTTCTAATTCTCTAGACAAAAACAATATTCTAATCCTCTGCTCAAGTAGATATAAATTAGTCCAATGTGTGATATCTGGACACAGGTGTCTTAAAAATATTATACAAAAATGAAAAATATAGTTTATTAAAGGTCATATAATATATCAAGGAAGCAGGTTTCTTGTCCTAATAGTTATAATGTTTGGTGAATGAAAACATATCTCACAAGTGTGGATTAGCCATTAGTTATTAACTTTAAAATACTAGATAACTCATATTTATAAATAAAAAAAATAATATAATATACTATGAAATGTATAAATAAGTAAAAATTTCAATTAAATCAATAATTATGACTCACAAGTTTTATATATATGATATAGGATATATAAATTTTAAATCTATAAAGTCATTTTCACTTTTATTTCTACCTCTATTACATAATTATCACTTTCATTATCCTCAACCGTTAACGTCGTTACTATTATCACCATCAATAACAATGATAATATATAATTGTTACAATAATTGTTATGATATTATTTTTTTATTATTATCACCACAATATATATATATATATATAATATTTTTGAACTCAATTAAATCAATCATTGACTTTTATAAGGAAAGGAGGAAAATATAAAACATTTTCCATGGCCAACAAGATGTAATTTGATTTGCTGAACATGGAAGTTAATGTTCTTAATAAAATAATTTATTAAATATTAGATAGTGGAGACTACTACGTAGTACGTACAGGTACAATCTGTGATGCGATACAAATTGATATCAGGTATTCCAACGCAAATGAGGTTAGTGACTTAGTGTAACCTGATTTTTTATGTTTTGTTGAGGATAGTATAACCTAATTGAAGGCACGCACAAATGTGTAATTTAATTCACGAGATATATAGCCCAATGAGAAAATATCATTTCTGATATAATCTCTATATTATTTTTTGAAATTTTTCAAATATATTTTTAAACTAAAAAAAATTGAATCTCTAAATTGAAAATATAAGTTCTTGATATTAGTTTGTGCCAGTTCAAAACCGATAGGTTTATGACAATTTTCAAAATCTTATAAGTTTAATTAAAAGATTTATGATCAAATATTCACTTTTTTTTTTAATCTAGCGACTTATTTAAGATTTTCCAAATAGTTTAGCAACTGGCAAATTTAACTAAATTCAACAAGGGAATTAAAAATTCACAATATAAGATCTTATAAATGTTTTTATGAATAAATCTTTCAATAACTTATTAAAATATTTGTTTTGAATGACCCTGAAATTTTTAGAAGCAAGTATGGTAATAGAATGGTTAGTATTGTTTCCTTATGTCCAGTTTCGTCATGCCGATCCAACGAAGTCTTAAATAAATTCAAGAGATAATTTTTAAAAAAAGATATATATATATATATATAT